CCTCTCCCTCTCCCTCTCCCTCTCCCTCTCCTCCCTTGAAGATTTTTATTATAAAGTATATGTATGCATGTTTGTCTATGTGTGGATATGAGCTTGTGAGTGTGAGTACTTGCCGGCCAGAGAAGAAGGTATCCCTAGTGCTACTCAAAGTATGGCCATCAATGTCAGAGTCCAGTGAAGTTGATGCCACAAATAACAAGTTACCGAATGAGGTATGTCAGAATTGGTGAATTGGGGGAGAGAAGCATGAATCCCCAATCAAAAGAGCCCAGACAGAAGTCATAGGTCACCAGTCTTCCTTCAGTAGCCACATAAAAGACCACTCTCAGGGTTCTATGAGCCTTCCTTCCTAACGGCTGTTAACGGTCTAAACAAATGATGAAGCGGCCCCAGTTCATCTCAAAAGGCTCTATATTAAACATAATATAGTTTTATTTATTCTTTAAAAAATTAGCTTCAAGTACAAGTGGCATTATTTAAAGCATTAGAAAATATGAATTCCAGGAAACTCGGGAGGGCGAGGCAAGCCAAGCAGGGAGAAACATTAGTTTTTTGTTTGTTTTATTTCTAATCTCCGGCCTCTAGAAAAATGACTTGGGTGTAATCAAATGAAAATAATACACTTGAAGGTCAAAGAGCTAATTTAACAGGAAGCTCATTTAAAATGTGGTTGCGCCGACACACAGCTGAGGCGCTCACCCCCACAGTTAAATGTGAGGAGAGCCCTCGGGGACTTAGGAACAGAGAGCTGTGCACTTGGGTCCAGTCTGCAAGGCCTTCACTGGGAACTTGTGAGGCTGGTAGCAGAGGGTGTGTTCAATCATACCCAGGAATGTGCCATGTATTCAAAAGAGTAAACATAAGCATAACACACCGTTTTGCCAAGTTCAACAAATGGTTTCATGAGGCTCTGAGCTCCCTGAGGGCAGCATCCAAATGGCTTATGAAGTCAACCCAGGACTAACGGTGTCACCCACTGTCACAGAGAGTATGTTCTCTGACTCCCTGACGGCAGACGGTTAGGACCAATACAGGTTTCAAGAGCAATGCTTATCATCCTCGTGGTTGCAGGAATCACTCCACATTTCTCAGCCTGAGCAATTTAGTCAGAAGCCTTGGGGCTGAGGTGCAGACATTAGTGTCACAAACGCCACAGGAGTGTCCACGTGCACCTAATATGCCAATCAGAGGCCAGGGCAATCCGGTCTCAACCGACTGCGCTGATACCCAAACATCCACCCCAGTAAGTTTCTACTCCAACCAGAAAGGACATCTCACTTATCATCAGGGATCATCAGGTATCATAGACATAATAATCAGGACAAAGAGACAGCTCTCTGGGTGACGTGCCTGCCACTAGAGTTTGAATCCCCAGAACCACATGAAAGCCAAATGGGCATCGGTCCCTCCTATATCCTCAGCTGGAAAGAGAGAAATAGGGTCTCCCAGAGTAAGATGGCTAAAGAGACTAGCCATATCGGGGGTGCTGAGTTCAAGTGAGGCACCCCACCTCAATAAATAAGGTGGAAAACAATCAAGGGAGACCAACACCAATCTTGGGCCTACACACACACACACACACACACACACACACACACACACACACACACACTAAACTAAAAAGTAATCCTCTTTAGCGTTCATTAAGCAGATGCCAGCACATGCCTAGCACCTCTGTCCATTTGCTCATGTAGCCCTGCAGCTGTGCGGAATTCAGGACAATGCCCCACTGGAAAGCTAAGGAGCCCGCACTCCCTAGGCTTGGTCAGACCTATCCCTGATCACTTCCACACTTGTCCAACCAGGACAGTACTGAGACCGCAGGAGCATAACACATTTTTGATGATCAAAGAATAACTCCGCAAATACAGGATTAACTCAACCCTCTCTGCCTTTGTGAGAGCCCAAACCAGGACCCCTCCTAAATCAGGACCTGCTTGCACATCTTGTCTCTCAAGAGCCCTGGAGAAGCAGCACACTGGAGTCCTCAAAATACAAGGCACTTCACCATCAGTGTTCCCAAACAAATAACGTAAGATGCTCAGTCCCATTTCGGGTCTGAGCTGCTATGGAGGGAGGGGTTTTCTTCTCACGAGTGGTTCTCACACCTGAGCACACATCACACTCCCGGCAGCCTGCTTGTAAACAGATGGCAGAGCAAGCCAGGGGTTCTGACTCTGGGGACTGGGCGGGCCCATCTGACACTGATTTTGCTGGTTCTGGACTGCCCTTTGAGGTCCCCACTCAGATGTACCATCAGGCAGTTCACCAAGGTCTTGGCATACTCCAAGGAACTACCTTCACTTGTCAGGGGATGGGCAGCAACATGCTCTGACCCCTAGACCTCTGTTGGATTCTGTGAAACATTTTACACAATCCCCCTGGCCCTGGCCACAGGTGAGGGTCTGTGGTGCACAATGTAGGCTATGGCCTTCTCCACAGACCTGTCTTTTCATTTCTCCTCTGCTGATTTGGATTTCTGGAACAGAGATTTTCCCCCCCACAGGGAACAAAAGAGATATCCCATTCTGGAAAGGGTCTATCAAAATCCCACATGGCACAGACAGCTTTTAAGAGGCATATTTGGGGCTGGAAGATAGCCCACCTGGCAGAATGTTTACCACACTCTGGTCCTCAGGACTCAATACAAGATCAGACTGTGGCATTGCTGGTCTGTACTCCCTAAAATCCTAGCACGCCAAGTGCGGTGGTGGAGAAGAGAATCCCTGGAGCTTATGGCCAATCTAACCAAATCAGTGAGCTCGGTCAGGTTCAGTGAAAGACTGTCTCAAACCAAGTGATTGAGAAAGACACTAGACAGACAGACAGACACACACACACACACACACACATCAATAACCAGCATCCACCTGCACATACCCACGGACACGCATGCACATATGCACACACAGGTGGGTGGGGTGGAGAAACAGTTTTGCCATCAACTTGGTAAAATCACCTGGGATGAGAACCTCAATGAGGACTTTCGAGATCTGGCTGACTACGGGTTTGTCTTGGGAGATTGGCTTCATTACATCAATCGGCGGGCAGAATCACCCACCCCGGGCAGCGCCATTCCTCGAGCTCTGGGTCCGGGACTGTGTAAGTGATGCACGAGAGCTGAGCACAAGCAAGTGTTGGTGCATTCATTCTTCCCTCTTGACTGTGGATGTGACCAGCTGCTTTAGGATTCTACCTTAATTTCCCAGCAACAGTGGAGACAGGGCAGGTAATAAATAATATAAAAGCCTATGTTGATTTGCCTTCTAGAGAGGTGGGAAGAACTTTTCACAGACAGTAACTTCATCCAAAGTGCTCTGTGGTGGGAATCTAGCGCTCACTTGAGAATACATCTCCCACATCCTCTCAAGGCGCAGGGCTCGTATGGCTGAGCACGACTGACGTGCTTATCAACAGAGGAGTTCGTCGGCTTTGTTTCTTCTTTCTTTAAGTTTAAGGATAATATTTTAAACATTCTTACTCAAGAGAACGATCATAAGTAATGGATGCCAAAGTAAGTCTTTCTGTGTGTTGCAGGAAGCCAGGATCCCCCTCATCTAAGATCAAAGGAACGAAGGGGTCACCCACCCCCCAGCACACCACAATACAAAGAGCTAATAAAGAGATGCCATCAGCTATGGGCAGGAGGAGAGATTTCCAGAACCCCAAACAGAGGGCACGCAAGGGAAGGCCCAGGCTGCACCTCCCCTTTTTGCTTTCCGATGCTGCAGCACTGCCAGATGGGATGCTGGAATTCCTGAGCCTTGTGCTATGCAGTAAAGATGTGAGTCTCAGGGGGCTTGTGGATGGGGCTTCCTGGGCTTTCAAAGGGGACGTGGAGGGGGAGACAACCTGCCTTTGATGTCTGAACTCAGTCCTGAAATCAGAACCACAGACAAAATCTGTTTTTATCTCTTCCATTCTAGGCGACCAGGTTGAAAGCTCCTGTAGTTCCTTTTTCTGCTGCTTTTCCATATTGTCAATTGGTTCCCTGCTGAGAGAATGGAATTCCTTTGAGTGGGAACGGGGTCCACCCTGAGATGCTGCCTGAGATTTCTCCCTTTGCTCCTGATTAGGTTACCCCGGCGGTATCACACACCAGAAAGGGCATGCCTCTTCTCTTACTGGCTTGGCAGCAGAAGCCACTGATGGTTTGTGTCCACACAGAGGTGACAAATTTGGGGGTCAACAGGACAGCTCACCCTGGAGTCTGCTTCTGGAGAGACATGTTTGGAAGGAATTAAGTTTGGGATCTGGCGACTAGCAGAGTCCACTCAGTAAAGTCCACCACTCGTGGGCCTGAGGCCACACAGCTTAGAAAACACTTGCCCTGAGAGCCGACTGGTGAGGCTTCTTCTCAAGACATGGGCAGGAACGGCGTCTAACGTACCCCCACAGCTGGAATTTGTGCTATCAGGTACAGATGCCAGAAGCCTCCGCGTCTCACAGGGACAACGCCGTCCCTCAACGCGGGTCCCTGCAGACCACCAGAGGCCCTTCATTAGGTCAGTGTCACTGGCAGAGTTCAAAATTCCAACCCTGCTCACTAAGTGACATGACATTAGGAAATGAATTTTGTCTCTAAGCCAAATTTCCCATGCGAGAGGTGCGTTTATGATTTTTATTCATCAGCTACAAGGGCTAAGCGAGGTGGCAGAGGGCACAGGCCCACCACACTCTGTCGCTGTATTTTGTATGTATTACAAAATAGAAATAATAATGTAATATTAACATGGTAACCTAAGTTAACACGTTTTCTTGGGGAGATGGCTCGGGTGGTGACAGGCTTGACTCGCAAGCATGAGGACTTTCATTTGAGTCCCTAGGACCCACACTAAAAAGCCGGGCAGGGTGCTGCACATGTGTGAATCCCAGGGGTGGGGAGAAGGGAGGCAGACAGGCCGCTTCCTGGGCGAAGCTCCAGGCCAGTGAGACCCTCCTGAGAACAAAGGGTGGAAGGCACCTGAGGAATGGCGCGCAGGCTGTCCTCTGACTTCCACGTGTACACACACACACACACACACACACACACACACACACGCACGCACGCACGCACGCACGCACGCACGCACACACCTGGGATGATCCTAGCAGTCATTATTGAAGAGGAAACTGTAAAGTGCTTTTCTAAGGCCTACTCACTTAGCTAATGTCCAGATGGCCACTTAGACAATCCACGAAGCAAATGAACACGTCTGTTCCCAGCACAGACTCCTGGATGGCCTGTCATCCTTCAGTTTCCAGAAGATTCCCTCTCACTCTGGGAGTGGCGGGGATCAGCACACAATCCCCCAGACGTGCAAGGCCTCCCCTCTGTCCCCTGGGCCTCTGCACCTCCTCTGCCGAAGTTCAGGCCTGGATGGGCAACAAGGTCAGGAAAGAAAAGGCCAGGGACATGGCCACAGAGCCAGCAGGGTGGAGGCACTTGGGAGGAAAAGAGGATGCAGTCAGGAGACCACCAGCGGGCTGTGTGACCAGCTAAACTGTGTCCCCTGCTCAAAACTGAGGTTGAAGCCTTGTGTGGCCCCATCCAAATGTCCTCACGGAGATAATTAAGTTTAAATGAGGCCATTAGCAGGGACCCTGACCTAGTATGATCCAGGAGGAGAGCACTTGCACATGGATCTAGGGAAGATGGTTTGAAGACCCTGTGAGAAGATGGAGAAGCTTGGAACAGCTCCTTCCCTCATGGCCTCACCTTGGTCTTAGATGCCAGCCCTTAGAATGGAAAAGAAGCAGATTTCTGTTTTTGAAGCTGCCAGCCTGTGGTACTACATTACCAAAGTCCGAGCAAATGAGTACACCCAGCAAGTCATTATTTCCCTCCCAGGACCTCAGTGTCCACAACTACAAAATGGACACACCTGACCTGCCCACCTCACAGATTGGCAGTGGGGATCCAAAGAGACTTCTGTATGCTGTAAAGGGTTCTACAGAAAACACTAGGAGATCCAACTCCACCCACGGAGCTAGACCCTGGGGTGCTAGGCAAGAAGACAAAGTCATGGGACCAAGGAAAGCAGGGTCCTAGTCAGAGGTGTGAGGGCTGGAATAGCCTCAGCAAGCCTGTTCCCAGCCCCCGGGGAACTGGGGAGTTGCCCTCATCCCAGTGGATGTGGGAGACACAGGGCCTGTGTAGGAGAACAGACTAAAAGCTGAGAATTTTAAGAAACAAACAAAAACAAAAACAAAAACAAAACACTACATGAAAGTCCCTGGGAAATTTATTTGCATAGCATTTGCTGGTCTAAAACACATGAAGACAATGGGATGTTTTTATCCCATTTAACTTATCTACAGACAGGAATCCCTACAGCATCAATGAAAGGAATGTGACTTACCTTCAGAAACAAAAAGTAACCCATGTGTATGGACATAAACAATATATAGCAGCATTGTCCAAAGGAAACTTCTGAGGTGATGAGAATGTTCTAGATCTACACTGCTCGGTATGGTAGCCACTAGCTGCATGTAGTGGAATGAGATAACTGTATTTCCCCGTCATAATTGTCTTTTTGAGTTCCTGTGTGTGCTATGCCATTTAATCCTAACAACAGCCCTAGGAGAGAGTGGTCACCATCCTTCTTACAGTACTATGGGGCCTCCTGCACACTTGGAAAGTGCTCTGCCACTGAGCTACATCACCAGCCCTGCCATGCCCATTTGATAGGTATGTTATTGACGCCCACCATCTTCCCCAAACTCTTCTGTCCAGGCCACATCTAGAGCTGAACCCCAAGTCTGTCTGACTTGCAAACTCAAGCTCTTCTCTGACTGCCTAAAACATGCCCTCAAGGTACAAATGGGGCCCAAGATCCCTCCTGAGGCCTTAATAGAGATCAGTCCTAGTCACCAAAAGAACTTTAACTCACATCATTCACATCAGTAGCCATCTTTAAAGTTATAATGTCAGGGTTTCTCTTCTTCCAGAATCCTCCAGGAGGGGACAGACCATGACCAAGGTAACCTTGGCAGCAGAATATTTTTGTATAAGGGTCCAGCTCGGCCTTTCCCTTTGGGAGGACAATGGTTTCCTGTTCCCCACTGATCCTGTCTGGCTCCCAGCTTCCCTAACCCTGACCTGAAGTCACTTTCTCCATGCCGGAAGTCAGTTACTGCGGGTGGTCTCCTAAATAAGAAACCTGAGAAGCCCATGCCAGGCGCATAGCTGATCACCCAGAAACAGCAGTGTTCACATATCACAGGACTCAGCCTAGTCCATACTACACAGGGCATCCTTCACTTTGGTTCTCCGGTTTCCATAGTAACGGACCCACGTAGAGCAAACCCCTCAACAAGTTAGGAAATTCATTCTCACCCACATTTGTGTATCTGCTCACTTCTAACATCCAGAAACACCTCCTTCACCAGGCAAGTTTAGCTTTGTTTTTAAAAGCGGATTTCTGTTTTTTCTAACTTTTCCCTCCAAAAATCTTTAAGGATCAGCTAGGATGCCCCACATCTGCATGAACATTCCTAACACTAAAGCCTCTGTGGTCCCACTCTATGATGCTCACCTAACTACATAATACTTTTAAAAACACTCAAACCCAAGGCCTCACACATCAGGCAAGTGCTCCACCACTGAGCTGCAGCCCAGTCCCCACATAATTAATACGTTGTCTATGTCGCTTTGTAGTTCCTTGCTTATGATGCAAGTCTTATCCACTGCTACATATGTAGTCCACTTAACCCTGTGCATAAACGAAGCTCGCCAAACTGCCTGGTCTGGCCTGGCCCGGACTTTCCCATTCTGTGGTCCCAGACCAGGACCTGAGACTCATGTCTTCTCATCTTCTAAGGCTGCTGACCAGACGTTGTACTTCAAGGGCCACCAAAGAGGTGTTTGTAAAATCAATACGTAATTGAATAAGTGAAAATTTCCATTTAAAAATAATCCCATCCCCAGACCGTTAGAGATGGTTCAGAGGGTAAGGAAGCACACTGCTCTTCCAGAGGCCCCAAGTCTGCCCCAGCCACCACCTCAGGGGGCTCACAATCTCCTGTAACTCCAGCTCCAGGGGACCTAACCTCCTTGGGCATGGCTTTCACATACATCATCTACCCACACAAATAACAGTCATATAATTTAAAATTAAAATTAAATATTTTTAAACTCAATCCTGGAGGAGATCAAACAAACAAACAGCTCCTGGGATTGAAAAGAGCAGAAACGGTATTACTAATGTTGACTTCTCGATGAGAAGTAACAGGGAAAAAAGATGAAGGAGAAATAAAAATCTGGGGCTGCCATCTTGCTTTCTTTACCTGAGACATTTCTATGGGCCAGAAATGAAAAGGAAGTTCATTTTTTAAAAGAAGTTCATTTTTCTGACTTAACAACATAATTAAAAATATTCTGGGAAGGTCTTTAATCCCAGCCTTCAGGAAGCAGAGGCAGGAGGATTTCTATGAGCTACAGACAAGCTAAGGCTACATAGTGAGACCCTATCTCAAAAAATATATATATACATAAATACATATTTTTATTTATACAAATATATTTAAAATATATCTTAAAATTAAAATAAAATACATTTTATTTACATATATTTATATATATGGGGAAACACTGGACTCAGTAAGTTTAAAAGCAGTAATTTTTCATAAGAAAATAATCAGAAATGAATACATAAATGGAGGTCCATAAACCGTATTTGTAACAACTAGAAATCTGGAGTAACAGTAATGTTTGGCAAAAGAAATTAGACTTAATAAATTACAGTATGCCCCTAAATGAAATATTATAAAGCCCTGTAAAATGTCTTTATGGGAAGTCTTTATTTGACACAGAGATGCATGATATAAAATGATAAAAAGCCAGCAAAAGAGCAACCAGAGCGGTATAATCTACCCCTGAATAAAAACCGCACATATAGAGAGAAATGAGGTGTTGTTGTTTTTTAATTAAGTAAGAATTATTTGTCAAACTGTGAGTGAGAAGAGAAACTGTTCTTGACTTTGAGGCTTGTTTTTCAACCTTGGCTGTAATGAACAGTCACGGCGTGTATAATATCTTTACAGAATATGAAGAATTACTGGCTGTGGGAGGTTTAGACATTCTGTTTCCACCTGTAAAGGCCCAAAGTGAAGCTTTGAGCTACGAGCTGGACTCCCCTTGGGAAGCCTCCAGGGCCTTTTTCCTCCCTGACAC